GCGATACTTGTTTTATACTGTGAACACACAATTTCAAGCCTCTAATTATCCAAGTCCATATTTTCTTTTAGGCTAAACAATATTAAAAACAGATTTGCAGTATCAGCTTCCTTCTATTTTTCCAGACTTCAGAGTTTCTTGGGGCACTATTATCAATCATTCCCCCACTCAATCTCTGGCATCACAGTGAATAACTACCATCTTAGACTACCACTTCATAGACAGAGAATCCTAACAAGTTACCTAGCTTTTTATAGACACATTCAAATTTAAGCCTAACAAACACTTAAGATACATTAACTTAGAAATATCCTACTTACATCTTAAAGAGTTCTTCCTCATCTTCTTCCAGAGTTTTTATCTCTTGCTCAGGAAGGGAGACTATGGGCTCAAACTGAGGATCATGGTTAGAATCATCTGCATTTTCAGTTGAAGTATCATGCTCATCATGTGTTTCCTGGAGAGAGAGGTAAAAACCAGAAACTTGCTATGTACTTAAAATCTGAAATACTCATATCTGTGTTTAAAATTAAAACGTTTGTGACTACTCAGCAATTAGATTTTAGTAACTGAAATACCCTGTAACAATAAATTGTAGTGGAAAACAAATGTTTAAAGCCAACATACACCGAAAGAAAAAAAATTGGTGCTCTTGCAGTGCCAAATATTTTAGTCCTACCACTCATGAACTGTGCAGAGGCTCAGTTTTGGAGCTCTTCATTATGGAAAAATAACGTCTTCACCTATTTTTCCTGTATAATGTGTTTTACTAAAGCGCTACTATTTCTTAGTGGCTAATGACCTAGCATTAATGGGAAAAAAAGAAAACAAACCAAAAAAACCTCCACAAATACACCACCAGTACAATCACCTAACCCAACTTAAGGGGACACATTACTTCCAAAAGTTCATTATTCTAATCAAGTATTAGAATCACCCACAATCAGAGGTATTTTTGAAGCACAGCTGCAACACATGTTTTTTGTTTTGGTTTGTTTTTTTTTTTTTTTTTGCTTTAAGATTCTTTGTGGAGCTTTAGTTTATGGGTAAATGGCCAAAATATGACCTATTCAATTATTTAAGAATATGCAATAGCATTCATTAAGCTTAAGAATTACCTTTAGTATGTGACTAGTGACTAAAGGATAAACATCTCCACTACTTCATACATATGCACTGCTAAGGAGTCAGTACAGAAGCCTAGAAGGGAAATTCATCTGCAAGTTTAATGAGGCCACAAACAGCTATCTCAGGTTAAGGGAACTGATTTGGGGTTTTTTGCTGTTGTTTGAATAACAGAGAAAGGTAAAAACAATTTATACATCAAAGACACTTAAATCTTATTTTCACTTTTCAGATGAAAGAGTCCACTCTTACATGCTCTACTTTGAATATCTTTTATAGAACAGGTACACACCACACATGCATAAAGCAACAGGCATGAAGCATTATTTTCACTAAATAGGAAGAAAAAAAAAGAGGGAATTAGGTGAGAATGCTGCAAAATAAACCTTGGTTATGTCAACATCACAGTGGCTATCATTAGTTTTATGTCCCCGGTGTTCCAGTAGCAAGTTGCACATTCCGTATCGTAAATCATCATCTGTTCTGTGTCTGACCAGTTAGTTACAGAAGAAGTGAGAATTGCGTAATTCAGAATAGCCACATGTGAGAGAAAGCAGGTCCCGTTATCACGGTAAGATCCCGTCCTGCCGCTCTGTAAGCACGTGGGGCTGCTCCTCTCGCCGGGCCGCAGCACGACGGGTTCAGTCCAGGGGCTGGGGTGGGGGGAGGGGCAGGAAAGAAGAAGGAGAAGAATGAAGGAGAGAAATGACGAGAGGGCTCGCTCAAAAGCGGCCAGGTCGTGGACGGAATCGGCTCCAGCTCCCTCGCGGTCGGGAGGGGACGCGGCCGTTGCAGTG